ATTGTCAATACCATTGAAATTGTCATTGTTACAATTGTAATCGGTCAGTTGCAAGTTTTATAACTTTAGGTTACCAAAATCTAAGCGAAACATTGCAAAAATGCAAACATACAGTATAGCAAATATATAATGCAGCCAGGATCACAATCATAAAATATGAAGATATATACAGTAGGTGTATGATTGACGGTCATGCATACTAGACCTAATATAAAGTACCTAACATTTAATACAACATACTCATACCAAATCAATATATAAACTCCTCATCTCAATTAAATTGGCTTAGGAAGACTGTATGAAAAACATGCATGTGCATAAATTTTGCATCCTGTAGGTTGCAGGTTGTTCTCATCATGCTTAGAAAATTTATTCAAACCATAGCAATATAGACTCTTCATTGTTTTATCGTGAAGTATCAGAAAGCAAGAAGACTTGAAGATATAAATCTTTACAAAAAATTATATTCCTGTTGGCTGCACTCTGCAGTCCATTTGTTCTCATAATTAAAAAAATTCTCCGTTTCAACATAAATTTAGCAAACCTCACGCAGCTAAATTGAATTCAACTTTAACAGTCACTCACAGACAAGGTTTCTTTAAAGATCTGATAAAATAGTCGCTCCAAATTGACCTATAGCCAGCATAAAGATCTTGTTTGTATAGTTCATTCAAAAGCTTATATATAGCAAGTGAGATTTCATAATACAATATATTCAAACCATACCAATATAGACTCTTCATTGCTTTATCATGAAGTATCAGAAAGCAAGAAGACTAGAAGATATACACCTTTTCAAAAATTCACATTCTTGTTGGCCGCAGTCCATCATTTGTTCTCATAATTAAATAATTTGTAAACATAAATTTAGAAAAACTCACAATGGAGCTAAATTTAATTCAACTATGCAATAACAGTCACTCACTGATAAGGTTTCTTTGAAGATCTCATAAAATGGTCACTCCAAATTGGGGTTAGGTTAAAACGCGGAAGCGGATGCGGAACGGAACGGATGCGGAACGGAACGGATATGGGGTTAAAATGCGGAACGGAACGGATATGCGGAACGGAACGGATATGGGGTTAAAATGCGGAACGGAACGGAAATGCGGAACGGAACGGAACGGATATGGGGTTAAAATGCGGAACGGATATGGGGTTAAAATGCGGAACGGAACGGATATGCGAAACGGAACGGAACGGATATGGGGTTAAAATGCGGAACGGAACGGATATGCGGAACGGAACGGATATGGGGTTAAAATGCGGAACGGAACGGATATGGGGTTAAAATGCGGAACGGAACGGATATGGGGTTAAAATCCATCTGGTGGACGGGAAATCTGATTGGTTGATCAGCATCATGAAAGATTTTGATTGGTTGCAAGTTCATATAAACAATGGTTTTAAAAATAGCTCTGTCAAAGCGACAATTAAGCCGGTTAAAGACGAGCAAGTTTTCTTTAAGAATCTTTAAAACTCGGAATGAGAAAAGCCGGAATCTTTAAAACCCGGAATTATTACTGTAATTACTGTAATAATTTATTAATTTAATAAAGCCAAGTTTTGGCGGGATTCCTAAACTCCTTTGCGCGTCGTGTCAGATCCTCGAACAAACAAGTAAGCAGTAAAGTAAAGAACCTCAAAAAATTTTGTGCGAGGCTGATATTCTATTATTCTGGAGGAAACACAGTGGGTTAGTTTTTATAGCGAATACTCTTATCAATACTGTTGAATTGAAGCTCGATTTTTGATATACGTCTGGCAGTACCACATCATTTTCAAAATACTAGGCCGTTTCAATTTTAATAAGCTTTCCACCTGTGTCTGTCACTATAAAATGTTTTTAACTACATATTATGAAAGCTTCAAATGCGTGTGCTTACATGCGCAGCAAGGCGAGACTTTTGAACTTTTGAAAATAGTTTTTGAATTTCCGTGGCATGACAAAAGTTTGTTGCGAACGTTTTCTCAGCGAATTTTCTACTAACCTGCAAATATAAATTCCACTAAAATGTAGGCATTTTCACAAGCTTTCAAAACATCCACGTTAGGGGTGTATGTCGTTAAATTTCGAATTAATATAAGCGATTGAAACTCGTGCCTAAAATCAGACATAATATATATTCCGATTTTCGACTAGAAATATGTATATTCCGACGGCAATTTTTACACCCTCGTTTAGGCAACGAATTGTCGCTCAATAATCTAGCTATACAATGTCAATGTTATAGCTTGTACCAAAATGTAGCTGATTTCACCAGTTATCTGACAATATGCGTAAAATTATTGTACCTGTAATATTCGCACAGATATAGACGAATAAAAGTCATGTTTATGTTGCATTAAACTTTCTAATTATAATTCTGGTTTCAAATTTTGTTTACATTATTAAATATAAGCGATTGAAACTCGTGCCTAAAACCAGACATAATATATATTCCGATTTCCGACTAGAATGTATATTCCGACGGCAATTTTTAAATATAAGCGATTGAAACTCGTGCCTAAAACGAGACATAATATATATTCCGATTTCCGACTAGAATGTATATTCCGACGGCAATTTTTACACCCTCGTTTAGGCAACGAATTATATATGGCATGGCATGGCATGGCATGGCATGGCATGGCATGGCATGGCATGGCATGGCATGGCATGGCATGGCATGGCATGGCATGACATGGCATGGTATGGTATGGTATGGTATGGTATGGTACGGTATGGTACGGTATGGTATGGTATGATATGGTATGGTATGGAATAAAATATTATGTTATGATATAAATAATATAGAGCGTCAGTAATAATCCACCTTAGGTAGAAAAATTCAATGGATATTGTAAAATATCAATCTAGAATTATGAATTATGTATATTACAATAAAAAAGTTAAAGTTTATTGTTGAAAAGTTCAACTGCCCAAGGCATGTATGGCATGATATAACCTGGTGTGGTATATTACCGCATAATTATATGGTTTAACGTTTAGTTCATATCATTTCATTTAGCTCTCAGTTTACCTTCATCCTTGACTTTCGACTTCGAAATGGTGCCATCAGGCTGTCGTACCAAAACATTCAACCTATCACCACCCTCTTTCCTGTTGCCATGACGATCCTTAGTTATCACCAGAAAGCTTACCTCGACCTTCACTCTTGCTGTGGATATCCCATCATCCACTGCGAAGGACAGTGAGGCAAACGTGCTACTGGCGTGGATAATACCAAGATACTGGGACACAGTACGCAAATAGTGTGGATCAGCGGTATACTGGATTGTGTCATCTTCCTCGGGATCGAGTATTGGCAGAATATTAACTAATAACTGTTGCTTTGCTTAATTGCTTGTTACCTAATCACGCTACGTGTGACAGAGCTGCTTATAAATGACTTATAACTGTATAAAAATAAAGTTAAATGCAACATACCTCAATAGCGCTTAAATTCTTTAAGATTTCCACTTCGTTCTCATATTTCAAGACATTTTCAGCAAACTCACAACATCCTGAGATTTTGCCAAGCTCCAATTCCAAACCATCTCTCTGCAGACCAAGAACTTTCTGCTTTCCAGTGTAAACAATCTCCAGCCGTCCCAAGAGCTTCTCTTCCGCGTCTCGCAATGCCAGGACACGCTCATTCGCGTTCCGCTTTATCTCTTCGGCAATTGTCATCTTACAGTCTGCCAACTTTTCTGACATCTCTCGCACCAGTACTAGCGCACCTATTCTACATTATAAGTACCCAAAGAAACTATATATATATAAAACTAGATACTAGTAGCTTTTTGCGAAATTGAGAGCAATTTCAAATCTGTTCAGTTTTTTTATACACCCTGTAGATAGGACAAGGTAGGGGAGTTGTCTGCTTTATTTACAACTTGAGATGTACGGTTAAATCAAACACACAGCTTATACCTACGATAACGTAGCCGAGTTGTGTACTTGATTTGCATGCACAGTATAACTCGTGTTGTATAAGCAGGTTGCATGCCGGGCAGTTTTAGGCAACATTTGTTGGCGCCTGCGCTCCTTCGCCCAGCGGCTACGCTCGTGTTCC